ATACCCTGCAGAGGTGTTTTGTCAGAGGCAAATTTCCTCAATTTTTGATTCTCTGGGAATTGTTTAATCCCTCCTTCATATTTAAATGATAATCATGCTGTATACAGTATTCTTGGTTCAAGGCCCTTCTGTTTCATTGCGTTAAATATATCTATCATGGCATTCTCTTCTGGCCTTGTAAGGTTTCTGGTTATAGCCTGGTGTGTTTTCCATTGTAGGTGACCTTTTTTCTCTCTCTGGCTGCCTTTAATACTCTACCCTTGTCTTTGACCTTTGCCAGTTTAATTATTATATGTCTTGGTGTTGTCCTTCTTGAGTCCCTTGTGTTGGTAGTTTTGTGGGCCTCCATGGTCTGAGAGACTCTTTCCTCCCCGAGTTTGAGGAAGTTTTCAGCAATTATTTCTTCAAATTGCCGTTTCTATCCCTTTTTCTCTCTCTTCTTCTTGTAGTACCACTATAATGTGAATATTGTTCTGTTTGGATTGGTTACACAGTTCTCTTAATATTCTTTCATTCCTGGAGGTCCTCTTTTCTCTTTCTACCTCAGCTTTTCAGTGTTCGTGTTCTCTGATTTCTATTCCATTAACGGCCTGTTGCACCTCATCCAGTCTGCTCTTAAGTCCTTCCAGAGATTGTTTTATTTCTTTATTCTCCCTCCCCACTTTATCCTTTAACTCTTGCATATTTCTCTGCAGATCCATAAGCACGTTTATGACCTTTATTTTAAATTCTTTTTCTGGTAGATTGTTTCAGTCTGTCTCCCCAGGCCCTCTCTCGGGGGTTGTCTGGGTTTCTGAACTGGACCAAATTCTTCTACCTTTTCATGGTGATAGAGGTAACTGTAGGCAGGTAGCGCATGTGTCAGCTGGGAGAACAAAGTCTTTTCCTGCTTGCTGGTTGCCTTGACCTTCTCTGCTACCTGTGTCCATTACCTGCACTCCTGGAGCAGCCTCCAGGTTAATCCCGTAAGCTGCTGTGGGCGGGGTCTCCGTCAGGGTAGTGCAGAGCGCTGTGGGGAGTGGCAGGCGCGCAATCTGTGCTGTCCTGCAGTAGTGGCACCCCCTCCAGGCAGTTGCGCACTGGTGGTGGCCTTTGGGTCTGGCCCGGGAGGTTGTGCGTCAGGAGGAGATTTTTGGCGGCTGCTGGGGGTGCTGCTGCTCCCAGGCTGCTCGGCTGCCGCCGGCATGCCCGGGCCTCTCCTGGGACCCTCTGGTGCCGCCAGTGTTCGCAGCCACTCCTTGCCGTAGTTCCACGTTGCTGCTCTCCTGCTACTGGGCCGGTGTGTCGGGGTTCTTGCCAGCTGGGGGAATGACTGGCAGGCTGCTTATCTCTGTGAGGGGCTTCAGAGCTGTGCTGCTGACCAGAGGGTTAGGTCGTCTAGAGTTCCCCGGTATTCCCACCTGCTGGGCTGAGTGTGCCAGGACAATTTCGTCCAGCTGTGAGGTCCCTGTCCCTTGAAGACTTTAAAAAAGCAGTTGCTTTTCTTTTGTCCCGGGGGGGCCGGTTGCAGGGACCCACTGGCAGGTTTTGCTTTTCCATTTCTCTAATATCCAGCACACCGTGCACTGTGTGGCTGTGCTACCAGTGTGGATTACTAGAGCTGGTGTTTAGCAGTCCTGGGCTTTCACTCCCTGCCCCCTTCAACTCCTTTCTTCCCGCCAGGGTGCTGGGGTTATGGGGCGCTTGAGTCCTGCCAGGTCGCAGCTTGTATCTTACCCTCTTTGTGTGATGCTGACTTCTTGCAGATGTAGATGTAGCCTGGCTGTTGTACTGTATCCATTGGTCTCTCTCTTAGGACTAGTTGTATTTGTTGTATTTTCAAAATATTTATGTTTTTGGGAGATTTCTGCTGAACTACTCATGCCGCCATCTTGGCTCCTACACTTGCTGCTGTGTTCTTAGGATACATTCTTAGGAGTGGAATTCCTGGGTCAAATGGTGTTTCTATTTTGAGCTTTTTGAGTAACCTCTATACTGCTTTCCACAATGGTTGAACTAATTTACATTCCCACCAGCAATGTAGGAGGGTTCCCCTTTCACCACATCCTTGCCAACATTTGTTGTTGTTTGTCTTTTATGGTGGCGATCCTACTGGTGTGAGGTGATATCTCATTGTAGTTTTAATTCGCATTTCTCTGATGACTAGCAATGTGGAGCATCTTTTCATGTGTCAGTTGGCCATCTGAATTTCTTCTTTGGGGAACTGTCTGTTGAGCAGCTCTGCCCATTTTTTAATTGGAGTGTTTTCTTTTTGTTTGCTGAGGTGCGTGAGCTCTTTATATATTTTGGATGTCAACCGTTTATCGGATCTGTCATTTATGAGTATATTCTCCCATACTGTAGGATGCCTTTTTGTTCTGTTGATGGTGTCCTTTGCTGTACAGAAGCTTTTCAGCTTGATATAGTCCCATTTGTTCATTTTTGCTTTTGTTTCCCTTGCCCGGGGAGATATGTTCATGAAGAAGTTGCTCATGTTTATGTCCAAGAGATTTTTGCCTATGTTTTTTTCTAAGAGTTTTATGGTTTCATGACTTACATTCAGGTCTTCGATTCATTTCGAATTTACTTTTGTGTATGGGGTTAGACAATGATCCAGTTTTATTCTCTTATATGTAGCTGTCCAGTTTTGCCATTTTTTAGTATTTTTTCAGCTCTGTTCTTTTTTTGCTTTTCCTCTAGGGATCTAATTACATGGCACTTACATCGTTTGTTATAGTCCTACAGATCCCTGATGTTCTATTCTTCTTAATTTTTCCCTGTGAGTCTGTTTCTTTTCTGTTGATATTGGATAACTTCTGTTTTCCTCTTCATTTTCCTCTTCATTCATCTTGTTCCCTCTCGTCTCCATTCTGCTCTTGGTTCTGTCTCTTGAGTTTTGTTATTGTAATTTTTTAGAACAATTCTAAGTGCTCCAAAAAAAAATAAAGCAGATAGTACAAAGTTCTGATGTTATAGCTGCCCATCTCACCATTTCTTCTTTTATTGATACCTGAAATTAATATGATACATTTGTTCTAATTAACTGATACACGTTATTATTATTACTATGTAAAGTCCATAGTTGTATTTGCGTTTCCTTAATTTTTATGTAATGTCCCTTTTTTGTTTTCAGAGTCCATCCAGGATACTGCATTATATTCAGTAATCATGTGACTTCAGGCTTCTCTTGGTTGTGACATTTTCTCAGACTTTCCTTGTATTTGATGACCTTGACAGTTTTAGGAATCAGGTATACTGTAAGATGCCTTTCTTTTGGAATTTGTCTGATGTTTTTCTCATCATTAGACAGACTGGGGCTGTGGATTTTTAGGAGGAACATTGCAGAGATGCTTATCTTTTACATTTTAACTTTTCATCACATAACAAGGTACATCTATTAAGATGATTAATAACCTTGATGTTCATCACCTTGCTGAAGCAGTGTTTGTCAGAAGTCTCCTTTTTAAAGTTACTCCTGCCCCTCTTTGGCCACTAGTTTCCAAGTGCTGTTCGGAGTGAAGTCAGTCTCTCTGTTTGGGTGGAGTTTATAGATACTTGGATTTTTGTGCATAGGAGAGTTGTCTCTTTGACATTTATTAATTTATTCAGTCAATTATTAATATCAAAATAGATGCATGGATATTTATTATACCCTTTGGGTTATAATTAGATACTGCTCTATTTATTTTGTTGCTCAAAATTTTCTAGCTTCTGCCATGGTCAGCACTTCCACTTGGCTTGTGTATTCTTTTGATGTACTTCATGCATTGATTTTTAAAATTTATGTTACTGTTTTTTTCAGTCCAGAATTTCCATTTGGTTCTTCTTTACATCTTCTATTCTTTGGTGAGATATTCTGTTTTTTCCTGGTTAATTGTGTTTTTATTCCTGTTGAAACATTTTTATCAGGGCTCTTTAAAAATCTTTGTCAGATAGTTCTAACATGTGGGTACTTTGATTGTTAGCATCTCTTGATGGCCTCTTTACATTTAAATTGATTTCCTGGTTTTTGGTAGGTTATTTTTTCACTGAAGTGTAGATGTTTTGGGTATTATGAACTCTGGATCTAACACTTTCTTCCTTAGCTGGCTTTATTTTGACACTACTTTGAAGTATTTTCATACGTTCTATAATTCACATACTATATGTTTGTAATTAACAAGTAAATGAATGGCAATGCATACATTATTGCTGATAAAGGGCCACAACCAGACATGTTTAGAGACCACTACAATGCTCCAGTGAATGTCTTCTTTTCCCGTAACATGGGAACTAAAATTGTATGGCGATCTTTTCTTGTTCCTGCCTATGCTTCCCCTTTCCATCTTTGTGTCTCACATTTTAAATGGCTGCCATGGTTGCTTATCTATGTTCCTGTTGCTCAGTTTCTAGAATATACTGATACAAGTAAAAATCTAGATCCTATCAGTGGAGATTATATAATGTTTAACACTTGTCTTTCAATGTTTTTCCATTTTCTTGCATAGTATTTTGACATTCAAAAAGGAAATAGCTTGCTTTCTGCAAGGAGTAAGGATATAAATTCATATGTGCTGGAAACTGTCATAGGTGCTTTGAAAAGAGTTCCCAAAACACCCATCTGCAAATGATAAAAATTGTAACTAATCTCCAAATGATCTAATATATAATGCTTTGAGATACTACAATTTTAAGTATTAATAATAGAATTCATGAGGTTTTAGAATACATTATCATCTAAGGGAATTTTTTTATTGTTTTTTGCAAGGTGTGCTGAGAGCGGAGTTATAGCTAAGTATTTTTAATTCCTTATCCCATTATATAATTTTATCATTAAATGAGTATTTCTATAGGTTAATTAAAATAATTTAATAATTCTTTAAGTTGGTCAGTGGTACTGGGAATAAGACAGATAGATACTTTTAAAAGTTGGAATGAGTTTTTAAGACACCAGAACAATTAATAATAGGCATTTATTTACCTTTCAAATCTAGCAGCCTTTTTTATGTGTTATCATAAAGTATTCTACAATCTTTTTTTAGGTAGGTAGTCATCCAGGCTTCCTGAAGGAGGTTCGCGATCATACGCAGGACTCTTTCTTAATGCAGCCTGAGGTAAGCAGGAATATAGCTGGGGTTAAGGCCTAACAACTTCATGTACTGTTACTGTCTTCATTATGTGTTTGAAAAATCATGTGTATTTTGAAGTAAATTAGAATTTGTGAATATAAAACATGTCAGTTAATTATTTTCTTTGTCTCTGAGACATAGACAAACTTATTTCACTAAATTTTGCATAAACTTTCTTGTGATATGCTCATTTGTTTTTCAGTAAGTATGTTATTTAAAAATTATTTTCAGTTAAGATTTTTAGGCACAGGAGTCATTTAAAGGATATAAAAGTCCCTCTCTTTTGTACCTACCTGAGAGAGTAGGAAGTGTCTTTTAAAAAGATTTCCAAGTTTATATTTATTAATCCAGATAAGTTAGTGCATGAATGATAAATGAATATAATTAGAAATAATTATGACTATAGTATAATGGTCTAAATAAATAATTTTATATTCATATAATACTGCTGTCTGATTAATCTATAGGCCTTATTCAAACTTTGTCCCTTAATATCCCTTATAGCAAATGAAAGAGAAAATTTCTTGTTTAGGATTTAATCCAGGGTTATAGGCCATTATTTCTTTAAAATTTTTTTGTTTTTTTTCTCCTTTTCTGAGACTCAACTCCAGACATGTTAGACTTCTTCCTGCTGTTGTCCCATGGTTCCTATGGCTGTGTTATTGTTTTTTTTCCTTCTTGCTTCATTTTGGAGAGTTTATACTGTTGTATCTTTAATTTTACTAATATTTTCTAATCAGCTGTTAGTTCCATGTTGTATATTTTTCATCTCACATCTTGTCTTTCTCATCTCTACAAGCTGCATCTGGGTCTCTCTTATATTTTCTAATTAATGCATCATGTTCATGTTTTCCAATACTGATTTCTTAAATGTATTGGCATATTTATCATTGCTCTTTTAACAGCTTTGCCTACTATTTTCATATTTGTCATTTCTAGCTCTTTTCCTACAGCTTGTTTTTTGTAAATTTCTGTATAATGAATTATTTTATTTGTGCAGTGCTTAAATCCATTGTCTCATATCCTTGTCTTGTTTTCTAGTTGTTAAAGGTAGGAGGCTAAATCTAGTCTCTGCAATACCCCATTGTGTGTGTGGCTGGGGATGGAAGTCCTGTCTGCTTTAATCTGAACCTATTTCCTAGTCTCTTTTTGTCTTTCACATCCCTGACATTTTTTTTTTTTTTTGAGAGGGCGTCTCTCATATTTACTGATCAAATGGTTGTTAACAACAATAAAATTCTGTATAGGGGACTCAATGCACAATCATTAATCAACCCCAAGCCTAGTTCTCAGCAGTCTCCAATCTTCTGAAGCATAATGAACAAGTTCTTACATGGTGAACAAATTCTTACAAAGTGAATAAGTTCTTAAATGGTGAACAGTGCAAGGGCAGTCATATCACAGAAACTTTCAGTTTTGATCACGCATCATGAACTATAAACAATCAGGTCAAATATGAATATTCGTTTGATTTTTATACTTGATTTATATGTGAATTCCACATTTCTCCCTCATTATTATTCTTATTATTATTTTTTTTTTAATAAAATGCTGAAGTGGTAGGTAGATGCAAGATAAAGGTAGAAAACATAGTTTAGTGCTGTAAGAGGGCAAATGTAGATGATCAGGTGTGTGCCTATAGACTAAGTATTAATCCAAGCTAGACAAGGGCAACAAAACATCCACGGATGCAGATTTCTCTCAAAACAGGGGGGGGTGGGGTTCTAAGCCTCACCTCTGTTGATCCCCAATTTCTCACCTGATGGCCCCCCTGCGACTGTGCCTGCCTTGACATTTTTGAATACTACAGAGCATTTGGTAGATTGCCCATCAATTTGAGTTTGTCAGATATTTTCTCAGAATTAAATTAAGGAATATATTTTTTGGCATGAATATCTCATAAATGATACTGTATCTGTCTTAGTATTTTATACCAGGAGACACATGATGTGTGTTTGTCCCACTACTGTATATTAGCTTCGTTCACTTGGTTAAGGGGTATCAGTCAGATTTCTACTGGTTATAGTTGCTGATTTTCCCTCTCTATTATGTTTTTTAGGGGGATATATTTGATAGTAAGTAAATAACCTGTTGCTCCACAAACTTCACTCACTGTTTTTAGCATCCGCTGTCAATTAGCAAAAATTTAAAAATTACAATAGTAGTATATTTGTGTTCAAAGAAAATTGTAAACTATGCTAAAGGGAAGAAAAGTGAAGTGATAGTGTTTAAAGTTTTAAGATCTTATTTTCTCTGCACAGACATCTTACAACAAAGAAATAATTTCAGGGTTTTATTGAGTGAAGTGTAAGTTTTACTTCAATTTATCTCTTAATCTTCCCTTAGTGTTAAAGTCAGTACGATATCATGTCATTGTTGAAGTTTTATCACTACTCCTATTCTAATAGGGTTCTTTGCTATAGACTCCTTGGTTATGTGGATAGACTAATTCTCAGAATGTTACTAAATGCATAAAATAAAATACCTTTGATTACAATTAGAACCAATTATATAAAAATACCATTCTCAGAAATATTTAAAAATTTTTGAAATGTATTATATATATTTTATTAATGCATTAACTAATAAGATATAGTGGTTAATAGCTATAATGTTTTTTGAAGTAGTGAACATAAATGATATATTGAGCCGTCTGCCAGTATGATATAAAAGGCTGGGGATTTTTATTTTTGACAAAGTAATAGGTTGTATTAAAACTATTATGGTTTATTGCTTCCAATCAGAATGAAAGAGAATGCTACATTTCTGTTAGATGTTAATGAATATGAAGATAATATTTTTTCCCATGTAATGTCATGGATCCAAGTTACTAAGTTTAAGTTCTGTTTGAATGTGGCTAGGAAGCAGGTCCTGTGCAGGCCATATCTTGGTGCCCATTTCCCAGATTGGATTTGTGCCAACAAGTCTTTATCTCTTGAGCACCTCCCCATGTGGTCCACTCCATCAAAATATATTAAATGAAATGTGTTACATGTAAAATGGGAAATTAGGGGTAGTTTTAAAATCATTCAGTGGTTAATTTTGAAATTCATACAGAACTGGTTAAAATCTAAAATGTAACAGTACCTTTTTTCAGTGAGTAGACTGAAAATGAGACAATTTGCTATAAATTCTCTATTGTATTTACCATTTACCTTAACAGATATCTTGCTTTGATCAGTTCTACCTCATTCTTTTTCACTGAATTTATAAATAGGTGTCTTTTTTTCCATGCTTTAATGGGGAATATATTAATTGTGAATTTGTTGAGTTATTTAATCCCTTTAAATCACTGAATGCATATTTATAGAATGCATGAAATTTAAATACAATTATTTTGATTGTTTACGTATAAAACAGAAACATGGCATGAGGTATATTTCTGTTTTGCTGATGTTCTTCCATTAAAATGGATCCTTTTGTTTTTGAAGTAGTGGTAGCTGTGAAAATGGTTGTGTTAAAATAGTTTCAATATTAATGATTCTGTCTTTCTGATAGTACTTTCTCATTCTCTTCAGATAAAAGTATTTGTCAGTGTGGACCAGTTGCTTAGCTCCTTGTTTACTTGACCCAATTCAACTGGTCTACTTTTTATTGGTATGTCTTAAAACTTACTAATTAATTACTTAACCCTTTTGTCAATAAACATTATCAATTTGAAGGATGTTTCTAATATGTTAAAAAAAATTTCTAATCCAAGATTAGATTAGATGATTGGACCTTATTTATATTGGTAAAAGAATTCTTTATAGCTGCTGCTACATGGACCTGTTTTACTTTTCCTTCTGTAATCCTGCGATAAAATTGACAGGTGTCCTGATATTTCTAGTATTCCTAATATGTTCTGTGGTGCCAAAATTTAAACATTCTTTTATTGTCTATTATTTTATTGATGTATTTTCTTCCCAAAATAAAAATTTTGAATTATTATATAGGCCTCAGGAAAACATGTTATTCCAAACACAAAAAGTAGCATTCTCCTTTATTGTCCTTGTAACATTGGGAGATTCATAATTAGACTAAATAGCTTTGCAGCTTTTTTTTTTTTGTTCCTTATTACCATTCTTTTGCTGTTGGTAACTATTTCTTTTTGGAGCCTACCAGAAATTGAAGAATGAGTTGATTTTCACTTTAAAAAGTAAAATCTAGGTCTTCCTTTAAGTGATAATTTGAGTTAGTGAAGAGGAGCAGCTTGTTATTTTTTATAGTGTCAGAATGAATATATATTCCTGGCACATAAATGGCTATGCTTTCTCATACCTGTTCTGTTGTATGCTGAGGAAGTTGTTTTTTTTTTTGGATGTTGATGTTACTTGTTTTGGGTTATTGTTTTTACCTTCAGTTTATTACCTTTATTTTCTAAAGTCCTATGGTGCTTATGAAATTTATCTATGCAGTTTAGCAATTTTATGTTATTTTTGGCCTCATTGTCATCTTCTCTGACATTTATTATTCATCCATCCATCTATGGAACATTTTGAGGTCTTCTTTATATCATCATATGGTACTAGATGCTGTTGGCTTTGAAGATGGAGTAGTAATGTCAACATCAGGTGGGAAGATGGATACAGTTATTTTGCAACATGATATATGATATGTGACTTAATTGATTATGACAATTCTGTAACCACTTAGAAGATAGATCAAATACAAGTTGCACCTAAAGGTTGCTTCTCTGATTTCTAATTCTGACTATCAAGTTAAGTTTTAATACACACCAGTTCATCTGAACTCTGTTGCTGTAAGACTGTGTATATTTCAGTATAACTGCTTTTGTCCAGTAATTTTCAAAGTGTTCTTCTTTTGGCCTTACCTTCATATATTTTATCTCATTTCTTTAAATTATGTCAGTGTTGGCAAATATTCACTCTTGGCAGAAAGATTGACTTTATTATTATCTGTTGACTAATATCAACATTTGTTAATAGCCCAGCATAATTTTGAATAAGGTTTGTTTTTGTATTTTAAAAAAATTAAAAGAAAATTATTTTATTGTGGTTTTATTTTATATGATATTTTAAGTGTAGTAGATAAGGGGTGAATTAGCTTTAAGAGAAGTTCTGAAAGTGCTTGGAACAGCATCAGCTCAATGGAAAAAAGCACTTAACATCTTCAAATTATTCCTCTGAAGGATGTTATTTGATTATTAAGGTTACATTTCATAGGTCCATTTAGTTTCTTTTGTCAGATGACAAAGAAGTGTGTCATCATTGTAAACAGAAAACACTGCCTTTCTTTGATTTTCAGCTTTGCTTACCTATATGTAGGAACTCTGTTAAACTTAATTAATGGAGAAAAACTATTTTTGAAGTCAGCTTAGCTGAGATCATTACTTTTGTTTGAATCTTAATTTAGCTGCATTTTGGTTAACAGTTTGCATCCCGATGAGGACTTGTGACTCACTAAGCCTGCCTGATTAGACATTAACAGAATTGTTTTGCAGAGAGAACAGAGGTGTAATGAAAAATATGATAACCTTTCTTCTAGTTAAATTGTGGTTTCTTAATTATATTTTCATGTTTTAAATTTTAGAAATACGGAAAACTGACCACTTGCACTGGTTGCCGAACACAATGCAGGTTTTTTGATATGACTCAGTGTATAGGTCCTAATGGATATATGGAGCCATATTGTTCAACTGTTTGCATGAACAGTCACAAGACAAAATATGCAAAATCACAAAGTAAGTTTCAGGTATTTGGAAAGTTAAAAAACTTTAACAAGATTAAGTTAACTACTTTTTCTCCTTTAACTTTTTTTTACCCTTGTTTTTAACTGCATAGAACTTTATTTTTATTTCAACACTACACTTTCTTACTGCAAACTTTTTAATGGTTTTGATCATTCCACATTTATTATAGTTTAAAATTATTGGTGGACTTCAGTCCATGTCTGTGTTCTTAGCTAAAATTATTTTTTCCATCCAATCATTTAAAACTGAGGTTGTTTCATGTATCTGTGGATATTTTAGAGGCATAATATCAAATCAGACTCTTTTAATTACAGAATTTTTTAAGGTACATATAATCTTAGAATTTAATAAAAGATGGGTTTACAGGGTTTCCATTAAAATAATATTTTCACAGGTCACTTAAGATTTTTTTTTCAACTTTCATTACTTTATAAAGAAATCAGCTATGTACCTTTTCTTTCCTAGGTTTGGGAATTATTTGCCATTTTTGTAAGCGAAACTCTTTACCTCAGTATCAAGCCACAATGCCTGATGGAAAACTGTATAACTTTTGCAATTCCAGTTGTGTGGCTAAATTTCAGGTTTGTTATTTATTTTGCATTATCCTTATCCCCAATAAAATACAGGAAATAGTGTAACAGGCTTTATCTTTATATAATGTGCTAATTTTTATATAGCCTTGTTGAGAGTCAGATTTGGATTATAGCCTTATTGAGAGTCAAATTTGGAGGACTGAAGTTCTAGATTCCCAGTCAGTAGACGCAGCTGCTCCAGCTCTCTGCATAGCATGGATAACCTTATTTACTTTCTAATTGTTATTTATGATATGAACATCAAAGCAAAATAAATTTTGGTGTAATTGAGTTACGTGCCTTTTGTGTGTAGTATTTTCTTAGTAGATGGTTTTTAGTAAGTTGTGACTTTTAAGGGGAATTCTGTTTTATGATAAATAGATGAAGGATATAGGTATATTTAGCCTGGACGTGATAAGCAGAAATGTTTTTTTTCCCTAAAAATACATGATGTATAAAGGAGATTGCACTGGACTTGTATAGTGTACAAGTTCAGTTTCAGGAAGATATTCTTTATTTTGGCAAATATAAAGAAAGATTTTCTGACGTACTTCTTAAAAGCTGGAGTATGGACAGCCCGAGAAGACAGTATTACTTTTAAGTGTCCAAACTTAAGCTGGTTGGTCACTAGAAAGGAATGGCTTAGAAGGGGATTCAGCAATAGTTAAGTGGTATGAGAAGGTTTACCTGCTATGTGAAAATTACAGAGTATTAACTTAAAGATTCAAACCAGTGTGTAAAGACGTGCACTTGAGTTAATTCATCCAGCAATTCTATGTTGCAGACACTTAGCCATGCGTTATTTTATCTAAGTTGGAAATTAAGTTACTGTAGTTATAACAGTTATTAGCATTTCAATTGATGTGGTTTTGAATTCGGCCAAGTGTATGTTGTTTTTGTTAATAGTTACATCCTTAACTGAGCTTAGGTTGATAAACCACATTCAAGACTAAACTTTTATTTTGGGAGTTGGGATCATGGCCATTGATAACATCCTTAAAGTGGTAAATACTGATATTGACTGGTTGGTTTTCTTAAACTAGAATTTACAAGGAATAAGGATATAAGTAGTTGAGGGGACAGTGTCTTTGGTATGATGCTTGTCAGATTTTAACTTTCTTTACTCTGTTTTGATGTTGGTAAACTGAAATGTTAATTGAAACTCTACTACTTTTTTTCGTTTGAGACTTGTATTGCCTATGATTTGATGAGATCATTTGTATATGTACATTGTACATTTTAAAGAAACTCTTACACTCTTATTTCTAAGGAATGCATTCAGATAAGTCTGTAGGCAGTCTCATCAGTGTATAACTGCATAAAAGTTGGCAGTCAGAAAAACAGAATTTTTTTCCTTTCTCTTTACTTTATTAGATGTTTTTTCATTTCAAAGTTAGGTAATAGAATGGTATTTCATTAGTTTTGAAAGAGTAAGGTTAATGGACCTTAGTTTTATGGAAGCAATAAGGATAATGTTGCTGGATTTTATTTAAAAAATTTATTCACCTGATACTTAATTTTCTTAAATCTTCATGTTTTATTTTTTCACAAATTTTAATTGTGTGATATATGCAGAGTTTTAAAAATGATAAAAGTGTTTTTCCTTCTATTGCCACTTTGGAAAAAAACCTTTATTTCATACATTCAGAAGATTATATGTAATATATATTAAAGAATCATAATTAAATATCAGTGTATTCATCATTCAGATTATAACTTAGGACAAAATTTTAAAGCCTGTATATGCTTGTATCTTTACCTATCCTATAAATTGTTTTAACTTTTAAAAATATAGTAAAACTAAAATTCCTGATGGCAATACCAGTCTGTTATTTTTTCCAAACTTTGTAGAAGAAATCAGTTTGAAAAAGTAAGATAGGCTGTTTTCACTGATGGACTTGGAATGGAACTGACAGCAATAATGCAAATGGGGCAAATCATTAGAAATTAGCAGTTGGAGAGAGAACCTAGTAGCTAGGTTTTTTAGAAACATGTTCAGAACTTGGTTAGCCTCACTGTTATTTACTTATATGTTCTTAAAGAGAGAAAAGTCACAATTGCACTGTATGATTTTTTCCTTTTTCATATTATTTTATTTTAAATAAGTAGTGATAATCCTGTTGTAAAAAATGAATTTCAGTTTCATAAAACAGCATATCAGCATAATTTTTAAACATAAATCAGGAATGTAATTTTATGTGTTGAGGAAATATTTAAGCAAGATTCATATTATTTTCTGGACAAAGTGAATATTTCACAGTAGTCAGAAGTAAAAATTCTAAAAGAACATATCAGTCTATATGTTTTTTTTCTTTGTTTTAGGCTCTAAGTATGCAGTCTTCTCCAAATGGCCAGTTTGTAGTTCCAAGTGATATTCAGTTAAAATGCAACTATTGTAAAAATTCCTTTTGTTCAAAGCCAGAAATCCTGGAATGGGAGGCAAGTTATATTTTGTTATATATTCTCTAGTGCTAAAATGAAAGTCTAGTAACTAGTAAAAATAACTGGCATTTCCATTTGAGGACCTATTTCTTAGTAAATAAGGATTAGTTTTTCAGATTTTGTGATGGAGTATTTACTTTTGTGAGAGTGCAACTGACAAAGAATCTTTTTCTTCTTAAACAGATCAATAATTCAAACAAAATTATTGACTTCATATTCATTATGTTATGTTTGTATATAGTGAATATGGACTGTCCATATAATTAAATGAACATTTTATATGCTACTTTGTTTACATACCTAGAGCATCTGTATGTATTTTTTTCCCATTTCTTCCCCCTCCCTCCCATTCTTACATTGTTTGTGACCTATATCTTGTATTGCCTGCTACCTATAAGAATTAGAACTTGTTAGTCATTCACTATGCTGTCACTTAACATTTTATAATTGTTTTTCAATAGGAGTCCTAACACAGACCTATTTTATCTTCCCTTTCTTATTCTTTGCCTTCACCAATTTATTGATTTGTTTTGCCAAAGCTTTTTGCCATTAGCAAAAACTCTTGATCATTAATTTTTATTTCATTAAGGGGCAATGATAGATGAATGGATGGATGGATGGACGGACGGACGGACGGGTGGATGGGGTGGCCCTGGTTGAACATTGTATTTTGAGCAATGTTCATAGAGTACGTAATAAAATGTAGTTCCAACAATAGACTGCTCTTGAGCCAAAACTTAGTGGCTGTTGGCAAGTCAATCAGTATCAGAGTCTTAGGTAAATGGTAATACCCAGAACTAACTACATGAGTTCTAAAGTACTTTGGAAATCTGAAATCTTAGTATGTTAACACTTTAATGCCTGGAAAATTTCTTAATGTGTTGTGTTGTTTGGTGCTGTTTCAAAATCATTTAAACCAATCATATTTTAAGACTATTGTTGGCACCTAGTGATGATTTTTAGTGACTAATGCTTTCCTTCAATCATAGTAGGAAAACTGTTGAAGGCCCAATAAGAGAGTAAAGGAATGGTAGAGAATGAGGAAAGAAATCCATAAGCAAGCACATAGAAGAATATTACTAGGAAATGAAGATCCTGAACTGAATTTTGATAATAGATGAAAACGAAGTCCTTTCCGCTGTCTCCATGTCAGCACTACCTGGCTTTTATAGTCTTTTTTTGTGTGTTGCTTTTATTTACATGGAGGTTAAGTGTTGGAAGGAATTAAGAAACATCAAACTGAATGAGAGTTGAGTCTGTCTCTCAGGTGATTGAGAATTCTGAGGTCTTTTGCTTCTCATTCTGTTAGCAGTTGTGTTTTCTTTGTTGCTCTTTTTGTCTTATAAGTTATATGTCCAGATGGGACGGCTTTACATTGATACTGCCTTACTACTTGAGTTGTGAACTAGACTCTTTCACCTTTCTTACCTTGATCTTCAGATATCTTTAAGTGTTAGGTAGACAGTTTAGACCTAGTCTGTACCCTGCATGATAACAGGGGAAAAAGCTGCCACCTTGGAAGTTTTAACTTGTTTCTGTTTGGCGGGATGTTTGAAACCTAGTTCTGGCTATTGTGGGTTTGGGGCCAGGAGAGATAATTAAAAATAATTACTAACCTAGCCTTATTAAAGGAAACCAGCTCAGTCTTAAGCTTCAGCAGCATGCTGTGTGATAGCCCCAATTGAATACTTATCCATAAGTCTGTTACCATTAAGCTGTGATAGACAAGAATATGATTGAGCCTGCTTGAGTATTTTCAAGAAAAAATGTTTCTTTTTGAGTGAAAATGTTACTAATATCATAATTTTTGTTTTTTTGTAGCTTACCCATGTTGCATCTTCCATTGTTTTCTTCTCATTTATCCAGTTCTGTTAGCAATGCTAGACTCATCTTGTTTTAGTGATGTCTTTCACTAAGTAATTTTAAGATGGTTAATGGTGTTGAATTTTGTGGAGCTATGTCTAAATATAGCAGTGAATTTGTTAAACTAGGTATCTGTCACCTATAGGAAATGTATCCCCAAGGATTATAACATTGAGTAGGTAAATGATTTAACTTTGTTTCTGTAAAAGTGGCTTGTTAATTTCTTAAAGTTTTTATTGAGATGATTGTCATATACTTAACCCAAGGTTTCCATTGTATGTTTAGAACAAAGTGCATCAGTTCTGCAGCAAAACTTGTTCAGACGACTATAAGAAATTGCATTGCATAGTTACATACTGCGAATACTGTCAAGAGGAGAAGACTCTTCATGAAACAGTAAATTTCTCTGGCGTTAAGAGACCTTTCTGTAGTGAAGGCAAGTATATACAGTGTTGTTCATAAGTTTTATTAATACATAATGTTAATTTTTTGCCAAAATATTTTTGAAATGTATAACTACGTATATCCAGAATAGCTGTCTAATTTAAGTGTAGCTGAACAAAAATAACGAGTTTGTTTTTCTACTGACTTGTTTTGTTAATTTTATATACATTTGTAGACATTGGGCCTCAAGTTGTTTTGTCTATAAATTTGGTAGCCTGTTTTTACATTGCAAGGAAGTTTTAAGAATGAAATAAAAGCATTATCTTAACCGTGTCATTCCTAAACTCACAAATTGTGACCTGAAAGTGATTTTACAAGTGGATTAAAATTATTTTGCATTGGATCCATTTCCCTGTCAGTTGACAAATATTTTTAGTATACCAGAAAGGAAATCACATGTGCATTACTACCATGGGAAAATACTTTTTAGATTTCCAGTTTGAGATGCCAGGGAAACACAGGCTTTTGTTACAGTACATTAAAGAATTTTCTTTCCTCTCATTTGCATTTTTGCTACTGTGATGCCAGGCAGCATATTAGAAATGAACTCCACTTCTCATTCTAATTCTCTAGAGATAGGAATCAGGATTTGTCTCTGGGTTTTGGGCTCTTGTTACTACTACATTTCTCCAAATGATACATTCTTGCTCTAAGCTGAGTTTTACTCCCCTGTTCTTTGTTTGGCCCAGGCACTGAACTCCCCAGCTTTCCTATCTACTGTCCATTATTTTCATGTGTTTTGTTTTAATATTAAAACCTTGTATTTTTTAGGCTGCAAATTGTTGTACAAACAGGATTTTGCAAGACGTTTAGGACTGAGATGTGTTACTTGCAACTATTGCTCTCAGCTTTGTAAGAAGGGAGCAACTAAAGAACTTGATGGTGTCGTGAGAGATTTCTGTAGTGAAGACTGCTGTAAAAAATTTCAGGATTGGTACTACAAGGCAAGTAACTCAGAATTTTATTACAGCAACTACTTTAAAGTAGAAATATTTTGATGACTACTAGTGTTGAACATTAGCAGTTAGTTGTTTTGGATACTTACGATGTATAGTAAAACACTTTGATCTTTTCCTTTTTTAATTGTGGATCTTTAGAGACTTTCAAATGTTGGTTTCTTCCTAAATTAGAAAATGAGTGTTAATTTGGGCTTTGGTTACTCAAATTCTACCACAGAAAAAGGTATTAATTCCTCTGTCTGTAACATGGAAAATCGCCTCAATTCTAATGCTTCATTTATGGTGCAGTTGTAAGCACGTGAAGGCAGCATCATAACTTTAAGATTGTGAAATCCTGCTAAAGAAGCAGTAAAATGTTTGAAATATGTAGATTGTTATTTAGTTTACTTAATGAAAATGATAACTAAGGAGAATTGCAGTAGTTCTTTGTGTAGTATAAAGAGAGGAAGATACTTTCAAAATATTCAGTGGTTGTCGAGGCTGAGAGTTTGGGTGCACTTCAGTTAATTATTTTACTATTGCTTCTGAGTAATTTAAGCCTTAGAATTAAGGATCAAATTGTAGAAACACACAGAACAAACATATAAACATCCTCTAACATGCATTCCTTTTAGTCTAAACCAAACATCTTACTCTCCTACAGAGAGTGGCAATTTTGAGAAGTCACTCAGAAAATGTTGCCTTAGTGGCTTTAAATGTTCAATTTTAGTTTAGCACAACACATAAATATACCTTTCTCAATTTAAAAAATCTGTTTTGGATATTTTCAAGGCAGTAAAGGTATTTGATGGCTACATACATGGAAATTCCATTTTATTCTTACTATATGTTTTCTCTTTTCATCATTTATTTTATTCTTTGGACAAAAGTTGTTAACAAGTGATAATGATGATTTCCCTGTCATTCTTTTATTATACAGATTTATGCCTAGTGTAATTATGAATCTAAACTTAAATTAAAAAAATAATCTTTCTTGGAGGAATATGTGTTTTGTTCACAGCACACTGAATGTATTTCTTTGTTTGACTTCTTTCTCTGAGTGAATTTTTCCTGTTTGCTTTTACATTACCTAAAATAGAGAAATTTTTTGGTTCTTGTTCTCCTTTTTTTTTTTTTTGGAAAGCAAAGGTGTTCTTCGGCAAAAGACTACATTATTCTAGATTCTAGATGTTACCACTTGTTTCATTTTGCCTTATTTTAAAGAATGATTGTATCCAACTCTTTTATTCATTCAGTGTTATTTTTTGTCTTTAAACCCAACAAATCTTTGTATAATATACAATAGCATTATTACATACTGCACTAATATGAGAAATAAAGGTAAGAGCATTTTCATCACATGAGAGGAATTTGTAAGAAGCAAATAACAATGGTGTAAAGTTTGTAATAGCAAGAAACTGGTGATTTTTCTATATAATCAATAGAAATGCAACCTCTGAAATGAAGAAAAGGATTGCCCCTCCTAATTCATTATTTGCCTCTTTGTGGAGGCAGCCAGTGTTGTAATTGAAGAATTTCTTTGTGTGCTTTTTTCTTGAGTCAAACTGTCTTTTCTTATACCTCTCATGAATCCTTTCTATTCACTGCTATCTTCATATCATCATCCTGAAAATGTGGTAAATTGAGTCACAACCAAAATAGGATTTTTTTTGACCTTCCTTTCCCCTTCTCCTTTTTTAAGAACTCAAAATTTTAGACTTACATTCATTAAAAATATGACCTGTCCTAGTCAATCCAGCTTTTATTAGAAAAATAATCCAAAAAAAAGGTGCTCCATCAAGGATACTTTAAAACAACAGTTAGTCCATCCAGTTGTTATTTAGCCTTTAGTCAGGAGGATTTGCTATAGGGGCACACATGGCTATATTTTTACCTTTGTGCTTCAGTTTGAGAGATTACCTATAGTATAAATAACTTGAAATTTTTTATGTATTTACATTTAAGTATTTAATATTGTACTTTTAAAACTTCTGCTTATGTTTCTTTTACTTGACATTTTGAATGATCTGTGTTTTCCGGTCTATATAATGGTTTACTTTTGGATTTAAAGTAGTGGCTTATTAAATACCATCTCTTCTAAATTGGAATATCAAATCTCTGAAATTATGCAACCAAAAATGCTGAGAATAAAGTTAATATTTTTCATCTCCCAGATAACTCTTTAGAAATTAGTCAATATTACTTTTCCTCAAATGTTTCCAGGCATAATGTGAAAGCAGGTGGGAGAAGGTAGTTAATTTTGATCCCTGTAAGTTTAAAATTTTTGGAGAAAAAGGATTTAGTATTGTAATGGAATAATACCTACATGTTTGTTATGTCCTGGAGATAATTCGAAAGGTCTGCTGTTTCCCAAGAATACTTCACAGTACTTCTTAATAGAACTGATAAACTTTTCTTAAACTTTATTCAAATTGCATAATTTTTAACAAAGGTTTTGATTTGTATTAGAAACCAGTCGTGAATGGTAGCAATATTAAATTCTTTATTGCAAATGGCCTATAATAGTCTAACAGTATGACTTAAGGGCTTTCATCAAATTAATAGTTATGTTTTAGTAAATCTTAGTTATAAAAGGACTGAGTGAAAAAATATTACTGGGCTTAAAATTTTTGTTTTATAAAAAACAGCTGGGAACACTGATTTCATTAACAATTCTTTGTTTTTGAAATTAATTTTGGGAAGGGAAAATCTAACATTATTGCCTTAAATGTGCTTTTGGGTAACAGAAGAATTGCTATCACTTGGTGCTTTGTGTAGTACCGAATTCCTCTTTTATCACTGCGTCATTGTTCCTTTTTTAATGAATCACTATCTTGTACTCAGATATATTGGGAAGTCATAAAGAAAGTCCTTTCTAAAGTGACTATAAAATTCCCCATTTCATTCATGTTCATGAATCCTCCTGTAAAATTAGTTCTGATTGGTGAAATGGGGAGCAAGTAGATGAGAAAGTTACAAAGATGTATATTTATCAACCAAAAAAATGTGAGTTGGAAACTGTCCAATAGATGTAAGAGATTATGTCATTATAGTCTGAATGACCTTTTGTCAGTTACCAAAGAAGAGATTCTTTTAGTAGCTGAGATTGGATTAAGGTTTTTAAATTAAGAATTTAGTACTTGCCTGTTACTTAGATTGTTGGAATCAGTGACTTTTCCCCCACCAATAACACATAATCCCCAGTTTTCCACAGTGAGAGAAAGTACATGAAATGGATGGTAACATTTTTTTATACCAGAGTCTTACATTACACTTCAGTTCTTATACTAGGGAGATGTTAAATCTCCTAAGACAACTCTTGTGGTTGAGTGGGAGTAGGTGTTGATGTTGTTAAGAAATGATAGTCACTAATGTTTTCAAATTCACCATTGCATTTTAGCTAGATTCCAAACACTTTGCCAGAATTTGCGTGAGCGGCTGTAAAAGAAACAAATAATTTGGTTCATAACCTCTTAAATTTTTTATTATGGCTTTAAACTTGGAATTAGTATTGAGTTCTGTTATTATCCTTTTATCCTGATAAAACATGTTTTTTTCCTATTTGCAAATTGACATTAATCTTGCTTTTTTCCTTGGATTGAGAGAAATCATCTAAATTTGTTTTGAACCTCTGGAAGAAAGGAGCTTCAAGTATTGTTACTACAAAATCCAAATGTCTGTAATTACAAAATAATGAAGTGATTTCATTCTTCAGATTCTTTGGGTGGAATTCTTTGGTCTTAGTTTTATGCCCTTGCCCTTCTAAATTATTGTGTAAATGAAAATATATTCATATATAAGGAGCATAGTACCTGTAGTGATTGAGTAAGTTTTAAACAAATTTCTTTGGGTTTTAGATGTTACATTGACAACCTTCTTGCAGCATTTTATTTCTGATAGGATTTTTATTTTTCAGCTATTCCTATTTTCTTGTAATTTTTTTCCACTTTGTTTCTCCATTTTCTTGTAATTAAAGCCAATATTTTGACTTGGATTATATACTTTGAACCCTACTTTTGCATTTTAATATTTGGCCTTATACAACTCACCTAACGTATTTGGATGTTAATTCCCCTTACTGATGTGAGGTTAGTTGGGTTGCAGCTTCACTTTTGCTATTCTTGCACTGTTGAGACTCAGTAAATAGAATGTTAAGCTTTCAGTTACTTCCTTTGGGCTTTATAAAGTTATAGAAAGGGAAAAAAATTGAAACCTGGAATACTTCAGTGGTTATTTTAAAGAACAGTCTTTGACTGGTGAGAATTTTACATAGGGATGCTTTTCATTATGTAGTAAAACATGACCTGGTTGATAATAAGTGCTAATGTATTGAGATTACCACATAATATTACCAACAACATAAAATTTAAGCTCACAAGTTTTGGGACAAAAGATGTCATATTGGCATCACTTAATAGTCATAATTTATGCTACAAATCTTCATTCACTTAACATTTATTCAGCAGGAGAAATGACATGGAGAGAAAAAAGAGCCTGTGTTCTAACCTTGGGGTATGTTTATTATATAAGACCTATTTATCAACATAATCATCTGTTAATATTCCTGACTAGGAATTTTGACAGTAGTATTTATTCATAGAACTCTTGTTGAGACATAAAATGAGAGATTTAAAGACCTACAGTATAAAACTACAATTAGGAGTAATGAGAAAAAGCTATAGCCATCATTACTGTTATGAACTACAAAATACATAATCTTTATTGTTTCATCAGAACTTCTGAGTAGTTAAACCAGTGGAGAATTTAAAAAATTATAGTAATTTATTTCTGTTCTAACTAGATCAGAAAATTATGGTAAGAATTATATTTGAAAATAATCATTTTATACATTTTGGTTTACTTATTGATGAAGATGTTAACAAATAGTGAAAATGGGCAAAATTTAGGGAAAATGGGATCTCTAAAAAATAAAAAATCTGTAGATATTTGATACACCAAAATAAAGTGTAATTTATATATGAATTTTAATCGGTTTTGTTTTACATACTAAGTTGTAGGCCAGTTAGGACCTATCGTTTTCCTAGATGTAGGTCAAATTCATTGTCTTAAAATACTGCTTTCTAACTAGTTAAACATTTAGTGATTGGCATATGAACATGAAGTTCATATTATGATTAAATCAGTCTATTAAAGCACTTCAAATTGAATTGTTGAGAGACAGAAATACTTGAAGTTAGCAACCGTGATTTCTCTTCATAAGAGCTTGCTTAAAAATCAGTCTGGTCTTGTACAACTTCTTTAAATGGATTTATTATGAACTCTCAGTTGAACCTGGGAAATTCATTCATTAATCAGAGATTTTCGATGTAATATGATTGTAGGAGACTTGCACCAGTATATTACTATGGCCTTCAAAATTCTTTTAAGATAATTAAAAATATTGTACAATTTAGTAAAAGTTAAAATTTCCCTATTGTTGTAATGTTGATCTTTGATCTCTGGTAAGTATAGAAAGGGATTTTGACATTAGGTAAATTGCTACATGGTTTTCACTTTTATTATGATTTTACTGTATGTTTATGATTTATATTATAACTGATTTTTCCCTTGTCAGATATATTCCCTTATCACATTTGGCAGTAATCACTGATACATTTTTAGAATGCTCTTTAAGTGTAGCTCTGACTTACTAGATCTTCTAATTGGAAATGTCAATGATTTTACTGTATGTTTATGATTTATATTATAACTGATTTTTCCCTTGTCAGATATATTCCCTTATCACATTTGGCAGTAATCACTGATACATTTTTAGAATGCTCTTTAAGTGTAGCTCTGACTTACTAGATCTTCTAATTGGAAATGTCGAATTTTTTTTTTATTAAGGCTGCAAGGTGTGACTGTTGTAAATCTCAAGGAACTCTTAAAGAGAGAGTGCAGTGGCGTGGGGAAATGAAACATTTCTGTGATCAGCATTGCTTATTACGTTTCTACTGTCAGCAAAATGAGCCCAACATGACAACACAGAAAGGACCTGAAAACTTACATTATGGTATATAATAATTTAGAAAGTAACTTACAAAACCTGTGTAATAGTCTTTAGATCATAATTCAAAGTAAAGTAATGATAGTAATTGATTTTGGATATAATTTAATAACAACTTGCATAGTTTTTCTGGGAAAAAATGCCCTATATGATGTTTCTGTGGATGTATTGATTTTTATATCTTATTTAATTAAAAAATTTAATGCAGTTAAAAAAATAGAGTCCAGTTGGGGGTGGAGAGGAGGTAAACAGAATAACAAAAATTTTTAATTCATCTACCTATCATATGTCATTTACAGTTTTAAATGAAAGCTATTTTTATCAAAAGTTATGTGCAAGGGGTAGGTTGGGAGCAACCACAATCCTTTAGAAGCTGCAAATTATTTAAGGTTAGGCATAAGGTCCTAGTACTACCCCCAAAGCGATATATACTTTCTGAGGGGGCAAAGTGGGAAAAGAGTTTATTCCACTTATTTAGCTCAGTATTTCAGCTCTCAAATTTGATAGTTTTTACTTAAAACAGTGTAAAATATTTTCTTCAGTGGCTGTTTTAAAAATCAGTAACATTTAACTTGAAATATGGGTTTTGAAAATTCTGAAGAAAATGGTTTTGTCTTATTTTAAATTTGTTTATGTTTTCAGATCAAGCTTGTCAGACATCCCGAGCCAAAATGACAGTAAGTATTGCTTAAGTAAAGTGCTAAATACTAATTTTTCTAATGGGGTAAAAAAAAAAAACCCAGTTTTATCTTATCGTGATAATAAAAGATTTTTTACTTTTCTCTGTTGAGACATTTGAAATACAGGTTGAATTACCTGATATTAAAACAGGTTCTTTCATACTTGCTAAGGAATATAAAGGCGAATTAATTAAAACCCTACCCATACTATGGGAGAGAGGCATATATATAAATGGTGTTTGAGTGAAGCACCCATTATAGATGGACCTTCAAGGCAGTAGCAATAGTATGTTTGAAATGATGGACTCTGTTTCTGGCAGTTGTGAAAACGCTTCTAACTAGTTGAATAGAAGGTTGCCAGGTAAAGAGGGAGGAATAATAATGTGCAAGAGGGGTGTGTATTTGGTAAAACTATTTATTAGGGCCCAGCTTAAAGGGTGACTGGTGATGGAATTATGGGAAATGAGAGTGAAAGGATAGGCCAGACCACATTTTTGATGGCTTTGTGTGTTTGTTCTCAAATAGGTATCTGAAGGTCTGTGTTGGGTGCTAGGACTTGTGAATTTTTAAATTTGAGCAATGCATAATGTGTCCTGTTTTCTTCCCTCTTTTTTCTTCAGTCTTTTCCTTTCTTTTGGTATAATACGTAAGATTCTGCTTTTATATTAGCATTTTAAGAATTTTGTGGGTTGAAAGTGGCCACTTACATGTACTTACTTTTGCCATATTTTAAGTAACAGTGACCCTACCCTCTGTATGATGAGTCTAACAGTAATCATCAGTGTTGGAACACTGGTATTTCTGTCATCTTTATCCCTGGGAAACTGCAGGAGTCATAATTGGTATCACAGTAAGTCTCTGGGCTAGTTGTTACCCTGGTAAGAAAGAATAAATCAAAGGTTCTTAGTTCTGGCTATACATTAGGATCACCTGAAGAGTTTCAAAAATTTTCCAGTACCTGGGCCCCAACTCAGAAGTTTTGTATTCTTGAGAAGTTCTTCAGGTGAGTTTAAGAAGTAAGCACAATGTAGGGGCACTGATATGGATGAAAGATCAGTGTTTTATATTATATGTTCAGTTTTTGGTTTTTGGTTTTGATGTTAATAGACAGAATCCTAGAAAAGTAAGAAGACTTTTTCCTTTGCTTCCTTCCCTATCTCTCCCCATGTGGAAATATAAAGATGATTCAGAAGTACGTTGAAGTATTTAGCTCTATTATCTGATTTTAATGCAGGTACCTTGTTCAGTGCTGAGGAATGTGAATATGATCACTCCCTGTTTTCTTATATTTGTGCAACCATAAGGCAACTCCCCAACCTTGTTTCAAATATGTAAACTTCTGACCGAGGCTTCCAAGAAATCCCTTCTACCAGTAGAATACTAAATGCCTTTCTCTTCTCACAGCACTTGAATCACTTTACATGGCAAGCAGAAGTATGGAGAGAGCATCATTAGTAGGGGAGGATAAGTCTGTGCCATTACAACTATTTCCTTCTGTTGTGTTAAGTCCTTTCCCATCTTTTCCTTGTAAGCTTTTGGAATCTTTTAATTCCCCACCCATAAACTTCAAAGGATGGGAGCTTAGCTGTATAGTTTTGAACAAGTCACTTTACTGTTCTTTGTGTATTTCCTTATTTGTAAAATGGGGATGGAGCTTTTATCTACCTCAGGACAATAGTAAGTACTAAAAACACAGCAGATGTTATGTTTCAGATCTTACAGAGATAGTATGTATTGTAATCACAAACATAGGCGTTGACATAAAAAAAAGAAGTCCTGCCATTTGTGATATGGATGGATCTCGAGGGAGTGTGCTGAGTGAAATAAGTCAGGTGGAGAAAGACAAATACCATATGATTTCACTTGTGGAATCTAAAAACAAAACAAAATGAATAAACTAGCAGTAGACCCAGACACTGAGAAGTGACTGGTGGTTACCATGGGGGAGGAATTGGGGTGGTTGGGTGGCGAGAGGGAGGGGGATAAAGGGGCAATAAAATTCTCCATCATAATATAAGTTGGTCACAGGGATGGAGGTAGAGCATGGAGAATATAGTCAATGGTTCTCTATAACATCTTTCTATGTTGACAGATAGTGACTGCACTAAGGGTGAGGATTTAATAATGTGTGTAACCGTTGAAGCACTGTGTTGTATGCTTGAAACTAATGTGAGATTGTATATCAACTATTCTTCAATTTAAAAAAATAGAAGAAAAAAAAAGGCTTGGACATCAGATGAGACTACTTGAATCCTGACTTCAGAACTTTTGGCTCTGTCACCTTTACCAGGTTGTATAACTTCTGAAATTCAGTTTCCTTATCTGTAAAATGAGAGTGATAAAAAGGACCTACCTTTGGTGGTGGTTTGAGGATTAAATAACTGATTTCATGAGTCATGTAATTGTGGTGACTTCCGTAGTATATTAGTTTGAGCTGTTTTAACAGAATACCATAGACAAACAAGGTGGCTTAACAATAACAGAAATTATTTTTCACAGTTCTGAAGGCTGGAAAGTCTAAAATCAAGGTGCCAGCAGATAACCTGGTCTGGTGAGGGCCTGTTTCATGGTTCATAGATGGCCATCATTTTGCTATGCCCTCAACTCACATGGTGGAAGGGGTGAGAGGTCTCTCTGGGATCTCTTTATAAAAGGGCATTAATACCATTGCAGGAGGGCTCTGCTCTCATGACCTAATTACTGCTTTAAGACCACACCCTCTGATACCATCACCATGGGGATTGATTTCAAAATACAGATTTAAGGGGGACATAAACATTCTCTATAGCACATAGTCCTTGGCATATAGCAAATACTCAACAGAGGGTGGCTTATATCATAATTTTTATTATTTTGGATCCTTCTTCACTATTCATTATAAATAGGTATAGATCCTGCCTATTGACTAGTAGACAGGTAGGAAGTATTATCAAGTGTTTTGCACTAGACAGCATAGTTTGATTGACATGATGTAATATTTGCAGAATGACAAAGTGAAACAGTGAATAATCTAGGATATCTGTGATTTTGGGCCCCTTCTTCTTAAGTGGGGATTCTACAGTATTTCCCAGTTCAGACCTGGAGTAGACAGGCAAATAAACATATACTGTTATATTACATTGCTTGATATGTGGTAGCTACTCAGTAACTGTTAAATAATTCTTCTCATTTTACATGGAGGAAATAGAGGCACAAAGATTGATTTGCCTGACCTTTGCAGCAGTGGTTTTACAACTAAATTCTCTAGCTTCTTGTTTGTGACTATCTCTTACAGCTGATTAGTATGTATTCGGTTTGAAATCATGATGAATCCACAGTAAGCTCATATTTACATCCTTTTGGCCATATGAATTTTTGTAACTCATGAAATATCCACCATAGGTTTTTTTTCAGACTTTTCCAGACCTTTAAATACACACAGATAAACTTTTTAAGCAGTAAGTGTTGTAAGTACAGTTGAATCCTCATTATTTATTCATATTTGTGAACTTACCTGCTCTCTAAAACTTATTTGTAACCTCTAAATAAGCAGATCATTTGCAACATCAAGGTCATTTACAGACATGTGGAGCAGTGAAAAATGTGAGTGTTAAGTTACATCTTCTTGCTAAGATCAAACAAGGCAAGACTTTACCTTCTTGTCTCAGCTCACACTGTAAACAAGTGTCCTTTACACAGTCTATTTAGTGCCATGTTTTTCCTATATTTGTGCTTTTTGTTGGTGATTTTGCTGTTTAAAAGATCCCCTAAGCATAGCACTAAAGTGCTGTCTAGTGTTCCTGTACACAAGAAAGCTCCTATGTGCCCTACAGAGGAAATGACATGTTTGGTGGGTTTCATTCAGTTGGCTGTGAGTTCAGTGTTTGTGAACTAACAATATGGTACATCCAGAAAAAGGAATAAGAAATTCACCAACTTGTAGATGAGGCAACTTTGAATGCTGTAAAATCTATAGTGTGTGTTGAAGCTCTGGGAGAATTGGAAAATGGCTAAATTTGTGGATAACAAATCTGAGCTTTCAACTAATTAAAGATAAATCATAGTGAAAGATCTGTACTCTGAAAACTCTAAGTCACTCATGAGAGAAATTAAAAAAGGCACCAATAAATGGAAATCTATCCCGTGCTCATGGATAGAAAGAATTGACATTGTTAAAATGGCCATCCTGCCCAAAGCAATTTACAGATTCAATACAATCCCTATCAAAATGCCAATAGTATTTTCCAGTGAACTAAGAGTTTGAAAATTCATATGGAGCCACAAAAGACCCTGAATAGTCAAAGCAATCCTGAGAAAGAAGAACAAGGTTGGCAGTATTAACACTCCCTAACTTCAAGCTCTACTACAAAGCTACAGTAATCAAAACAATTTGGTACTGGCACAAGAACAAATCCATAGATCAATAGAACAAAATAGCCCAGATGTAAACCGATGTATATATGGTCAATTAATATATGACAAAGGAGCCATGAGTGTACAGTTAGGGAAAAGACAGCCTCTTAAACAACTGGTGTTGGGAAAACAGGCAGCTACCTGCAAGAGACTGGAACTGGATCATTGTCTAACTCCATACGTAAAAGTAAACTCGAAATGGATCAAAGACCTGAATGAAGTCATAAAAACATAAAACTCTTAGAAGAAAACCTAGGCAAAAATCTCTTTGAACATAAGTATGAACAATTTTTTCCTGGACACATCTCCTTGGGCAAGGAAAACAAAAAAGTGAACAAGAGGGACTACATCAAACTAAAAAGTTTCTGTACAGCAAAGGACACCATCAGCAGAGCCAAAAGGCAGCCTACAGTATGGGAGAGTATGTTTGTAAATGACTCATCTGATAAGGGGTTGACATCCAAAATATATAAAGAACTCATATGCCTCAACACCCACAAAACAACCGAGTTAAAGGATAGAGGACCTGAACAGACACTTCTCCAAAGAAGAAATACAAATGGTCAGCAGGCACAGGAAAAGATGCTCTACATTGCTATTCATCAGAGAAATGCAAATTAAAACAACAGTGGTGATACACCTCACACCAGTTAGGATGGCCACTATCCAAAAGACAAGAAACAACAAATACTGGTGAGGATGTAAAGAAATGGGAACACTCCTACACTATTGATGGGAATGTCAGTTGGTACAGCTGCTGTGGAAGGCAGTATGGAGGTTCCTCAGAAAAACTAAAAATAGAAATACTATTTGATCCAGTAATTCCATTTGTAGGAATTCATCTGAAGAAAACAAAACCCCTGATTTAAAAAGACATATGCACCCCTGTTTATCACCACACTATTTGCAATAGCCAAGATACAGAAGCAACCCAAGTGTCCGTCAACAGATGAAAGGATAAAGATGTGGTACATATACACAGTAGAGTATTGTTAAGCCATAAAAGTAAAGAAATCCTGCCTTTTGCAACAATATGGATGGATCTAGAGGGTATTATGCTCAGTGAAATAAGCCCGGCAGAGAAAGACAAATACCATATGATTTCACTTACTTGTGGAATATAAATACAAGGCAAAACAGAAGGAACAAAACATCAGTAGACTCATAGACACTGAGAAGTGACTAGCAGTTACCAAGAGGGAGGGAAAGATGAGGGGGATAAACGGCTACAATAATTCGCAATCACAATATAAGCTGGTCATGGGGATGGTAGTACAGCATGGAGAATACAGTTAACAATTTTGTAGCATCTTACTGTGTTGATAGTGACTGCACTAGAGAGGGTGAGGATTTAATAATGGGTAACTGTTGAACCACTGTGTTGTACATTTGAAACCAACATAAGATTGTATATGAATGATAAATAAAAAACATAGTGAATAGCATGGTTGTGAGAGTTCCAGCTCACTTGTTACCCAGGATCAGGAAATTGTTAAACCTTTCTTGCTTAATGATGGCTGGCTCACACATTTTAAGGTGATTCAGTGTGGAAAATGTTAAACTTGCAGTCTACGTGGGTTCTGCAGATGAGGATGCTGTGGAAGAATGCCTCTATTAGGCAGGAAGTGGGTTGTATGCAGTTTTTCATTGCTGGTGAGACTGGTTTGTTTTTACATGATCATTGACAAATGAACCTGTGTCCCATTAGTGGTCTTCGAACCCCTGACTTAAAGTCCTTCAAAGACCATGTAACCATGTTTTTGTATGCCAGTGCCAAGGGTAACCTTAAGTGCAGACCCATCATGGTGTACAGAGCCCAAAATCTGTGAGCAATTAAAAGGAAGAAAACTGCACTATCTGGGATTAGTTCTATAACTGCTTTATCCTAGAAGTTGAGCACTGTTTCCAGAATGAAACCCTGCCTTCAAGTTTTATTATTGCATAATGCCTGTTGTTATGAAGAGCTCAAAAATGACCATCATAATGTAATTCTTTTTATGCACCCAAACATTCTCTCATCCATCCATCCCTTTGATCAGGGCATAATTTAAGCTTTCGATGCCCATTTCATGAGAGAGCTTGCAAGGTTCTCTGACACCAATAGTGCATATCACACACAAGTAAGTGAAGAATGCTTTGGGACATGAAGGAAGAAGACATGGAGGAAGTTTTGGCAATGAAGGCAGTAGAGCCCACTGATGACCTGGACAAGATCACAAAAAAAGGTATATTCACTGATTAAATGAGCCTGAGTTTCCCAAGAATTGTCCCCTTAGGAGCAGCCAAAATACTGGAATGGAAATCTGCCCTGGGAAAAATTGTCAGTGACATGCAAGAATGTGAGTGATCCTGTGCTTGAGCAAAGCCTCATATTTAAGCACCACCGTGTTTGTGCATTACAACAATAACACTTAAAAGATACAAGGTAAAAAACCCAAGCAGACAAGGCTGACTCAATTTTTGAAGCTAATTTGTGAGGGAATATTGCTGACAGTGTCAACGAGTTGCAAGAGTCAAGCTCCTGAGGTAAAACTTCAGATGTCACCATGCCATCCTCATCATCTCGCTTTTGTGCAGAGGAAGGTCCATCAACCTCCCCATTTGTTTTCATGGAGCATGCTAACATTGAGAGAGGTTTAGCCACACAGTACAGTGCCCTAACATATATCCGGCAGCTCCACCAACAGAAGTTAATGTGTTTATAAAACTTTAAACTCTTAAATCTTTGTGGGTTTTTTTCTAGGACTTTATTTGTGTTAACTCTATATGGAATAATATTCAGTGTATGTTCACAGTACTGAGTTTGAGTACTGTGCAGTATGTTTGTATTATATCTGCACTTTATATGTGCACATGTCTGAGAGTTGATAATCACAGGAAGTACAATGCTGTAGCCATAATGATGTATTATAAAGAAATGCAGTGTGTAATTACTTGTAAGAAATATGTATTAAATAAAGTGTGTTTCAGCAGAAACAAGACTATGTACTACTGATCTGTCTATGAAACTGTTATGACCAGAGGCTTGCAAGAACCTAACCCTGTATTTCCTTTTGGGTTAACAGGTTTAGTAGTCTACTTTAGTGTGTTCGTAGTGTTCTGTAGACCTTAACTACCCTGAATAATGAGAATTGAGTGCATTGGCATTCTGTACCTTTTTCCCCAAAGCAATAGGCAGTATGGAAAGCACTTTATCTTTTGTCTCATGGACAGATCTTAAGGTTATTTTAGACTGTGTGTGTGTGTGTATGTGTAGTTTTTTGTTTTTACATTTTCAATTGCAAATGGTACTATAGTGAACATGGTGAAAACATCTGAGAGACTATAGGGTAAGTTTCTAAAATTGCAATTTTTGGGACACAGGAAATAACTTAAATTTTGATAATAGTTTTGGTAATTCTTTTAATCATTTTTTTATATCTTTTCAAATTTAGTACCGTGTATAAGCTGCTCATCCAGTAGAGGCATCTAGTTTATCAGATAGCCATAATAACTGCAAGAACTTTTTCTTTCTCACATAAATTTAAGAGAGCCTAATTATTTTCAGAATTCAGGCTAACAACCTGGATTTTGTATTTAAAAGTGAGAATTCTCTTATGTTTTAAAAATATGCTGATGATCCTTTGAAGGTAACATAAAAATCTGTAGAATGGATGATTACTGCTGCCTTGCCAATAGGTAGGGTAGATTCATATTGATCTTTACAGATTAATATAGTAAACATGGTATTAATAGCATAATTTTGTTTGTATTCTACTTTTGTGTGTTCCCTCTGCAGGACCTAGAAACCAGATACTCATTAACACCAGGAAGTAATAAAATATGAGGCAAAAATAAAGTGTTTCTCTTTGTTTCTCTGTAGGGTTCAGCACCACCCCCCTCTCCAACTCCTAACAAAGAGATGAAGAACAAAGCAGTTCTTTGCAAACCTTTAACAATGACAAAAGCTACTTACTGTAAACCTCACATGCAGACTAAATCTTGTCAGACAGGTAACTTAGGAAAATTTGACTTACACACTTCCCTATACTTAAACCTCAATGAAATATGCTTTCCTCAAGTAATAGGATAGAAAATAGATTTGTTTGGTCACTTTAACATTTTCTGTTGATTTTTCTTATCCAATTTTAGACACTGTATAAGACAATGTATCATTTAAAACCATTACTGAAAATCAGTTTCTTATGAAGGCCTAGAATACAAATTAAGTCACAAGTGAAAAAATGCTGTATTAAAAATTTCTTTGGGGCTAAGGCCCATTAAAGTTACAGTATTCCTTCTTGAGAAAACCATCTTTTGAAGTGTGATATGTAGTGATAACAATTCTGTTTGCTTGTCAGAATGAGATGAAATAATTAAAATATGTATTTTCATCAGATTTAAATGTTCGCTATATTCTTACTGATTAAACTTTTTTGTGGGATGTAAGGGAATCTGGTAGGGTATCTGGAACTATATAATGTTTTTAAAGGATGTTTTCTTTCTATTAAAAAAAAGCCAAAATTCTTCTTGTGCTCTCTTTAACTTAGAACAGCTATTCAGTTTTTTGTTTTTGTTGTTTATAAGTTAATTTTGTGAAAACTGGGAGTTTCTTTTAAATGGGTACTGAGGCACTTAAAGTTCCTTTGTTACCAAATTATTTTAACATTGTGCAGCTACATATGCGTTAGTTAACATTGCTCCTTAAACATGGTTTGTATTTTAGATGATAATTGGAAGACAGAATACGTTCCAGTGCCTATCCCTGTGCCTGTGTATATTCCTGTACCTATGCACATGTACAGTCAGAATATTCCTGTTCCTACCACAGTTCCTGTTCCTGTAAGTCAGATTTTAACTTCTTTTTCATTTTGAGACTTACCAGGCATAGGTAGGAGAGCAGTGTTGCAATTACTACCTTAGTAAAACTAGTAAAACAGAGGGCTGAATCTGCCTTTCTTTAACAGCTAACTTAGGTTTGGTTGAATCTCTTGTTGGTTATTGCTTTGTATTTAATCAGGTAAATGTTCACCCTTGAGAGTAAAGTTCAGTAAATGTCTGTGTCTGCTCTACACATACTGTGTTTTATATTTGAGTTCATTTTAGAAAGAAATATTTGTGAATCTCTATGGCCTAGAACTGAAACATGGATAGTTTCATATAAAATATGATTACATATTTCATACTAAGTCAGTTGCAATGCTTAGGACACTATGCCAGGGCTTGCCTGCTGTAGTCCCCTGGAGGACAGAAATACCTCAAAATTATTTTCCTTTAGTTTTTATTTCAAAAAGTTGCTGTTTGTATTTTGGGCTTTGTTGTAGTTGATACCTTAATTTGAGATGTGTTCTTTCCAAAGCTTTCATCCAGTATTGTATTATAAAGCAGATCATGTGTCAGAATAATTTTTAGTTAGGAGAAATACCTTTTAATGTTGAGTAAACCTGCCAGTAAATAATTCGGTTACTTAGGTGCCAGTTCCTGTTTTTCTGCCTGCCTCATTGGACAGCAGTGAGAAGATGCCTGCAGCAGTTGAAGAACTAAAAAGCAAAGTTTCTTCAGATCCTCTTGATGCAGAGTTGCTTACAATGACAGATATGATGACTGAAGATGAGCGGAAAACAGAGGCGTCCAGCATCAACAGTGAGCTACGCTATATTACACTTTGTGAAAAGTTTATCATTGGTTTTAATAAGTGTTGTAATAGTTACAGAATGTTCCAGAGCATATCACTGTGCCTTGATAATGGAAATGGGGAAAGATTGCAACAAAAATGTATTTTATATTAAGAGATCTACACTGTATCTAGCCAGGTGCTTTTTTATGCTAAATCCAGTTTCAAACAAGAATTTATATATAATCGCCTTGTTTTAATTGCAGCAGGTTTTGACTTGTAAAATCAACTAAAAATTAATCCTGGTTTTAATGGACCAGCTCAGACACAAAATTAACATGTTGTAGGCTTTAATAATGATCCAAACTTTTGCTTTGTTATGGCTATCCCCAGTTTTGTTCTATTTATTATACTAACAATACTATCTAAACCAGGGTTTGTTCTAACTTCTGTTAGGGTAGTGCTTGCCAAATGGCGTATAAGCATGATGAGTATGTTGTGGGTCATTCTCTCTCTTAGAATATTTATTTCTAATCATAGTCATCTGCTGATAACCCAGAGTCCTCTATTTCAACCATGAGTTGCCTAATTCCCTTTACCCTATATATAGTATTACAGCAGAAATACTATAAATTCATATATTTTATAATATGTGTGTGAAGCATTTTGTTAGGAAGGTGTGAAATTAATTTAGTGGGTTGTATCCAGTGTTTTTTGTTTAAAACAAAATGAAGTGCAACAGGAAAATAAAGAATGTCAGTGTGCATCCCACCTAGAAAAAGATTGTGTTATGAAATGTTTGTTTCATGTGTGTGTATGTCTGTGTTATCTGTCTCCCACCACCAACCTGAGCTGGATAAAATGTATTTTTTGCTGTGGTTGCAGTATAAAAATGTTTGAAAGCAACTGATCAAAACATATGAAGGCAGTTGTGAATGAATGATGTGGAAAACCTGGGTCACAATTCCAAGGAAATGTTGAAAACTATACCTAACCCTTGTTAATTTATTTTTGATAAGAGAATGCTTTTAGAAATACTCTGTGTATTTAAGTTTTACTGTTAAAGCATGCCTATTAACTTTTGAGGAGCAGTAGTCAAAAATTTACAGGATTAACAGTTTTTGTTTACTCATGATTTTTGAGTAATTAAGTTTTTAGTAGTTTACACATCAAGATAGCTATATGCCTTTTCCTTTTGTGGCATCTTAATACAAGTATTTATTCTTGTTTTGCATTTATTATTAAATGACTTTCTTTTGCCAGATTAAATATATAGGTACTATTGAGGTTTTGTTTTGACTTCCAATGATATTATGTATTGATTGTAGGTGTTATTATTGACGCAGACATAATTGGTTCAGATCTCTTGAAGAACTCTGACCCAGAGACACAGTCCAACATGCCTGATGTACCATATGAACCAGATTTGGATATTGAAATAGATTTTCCCAGAGGTACTTAAAATGCTATTTTATTCTTTCAGTGTGAACTCTGGTTATGGAGTTCAGTTACGGAGTTTAAGTGTGTTTAAGATCATTAACCATTTAATGTTTGTGTCATTGCCTTTACTGTTCAAATTTGTCTTTCCTTTTTTCCCAAGTAAAACTTAATAGTTAACTTCTGAAATGAGGCATAGGATTGAATTATAGGGACTTAAAAAGCATTTCTTAGAGCCTTGAATAGAAGCTTTCTCAAAGTAATTCATTATAGAAAACTTTGGAGATAGAAAAAAGAATAAGAAGCTATTGTCTTTTTAGAAAATTTCCATAAAATATCAATAGTATTTTTCTTGAGACCTTTTTGAAAATTAAGCTTACCTTCAAAGGGAGAAAGTTATTTTCAGGTCTTTTGTTTAAAATGTGTTCTATTTTTCTTTATTTTCTTAATCTTTAGATGGCTAATAAGCACATTGAATACAATGTAAAGCATTTTGGAAAATATTTAATAGATTGAAACATTTGTACTGGGACCATTTAAATCTAATTGAGTAATTTCTAGTTGAAATAATTTTTGGGGTATCATACATTTCTATGAAAATTCCATATTGAAATTCCATGATATTAATGTACATGTTTTTAAAGAGTCTAAAACAGGATTTATCAGAACTTAGAGACTATGTTAGGTACAGAAAATCATTCATTTTCCACCCCAGCACAGGTTATCTCCATGTATATGTGCCTGTTTTTATTATATAGTTTGTTTTTTGTTGGCTATAAAAGATCTTTTTACTCAATTGTCAGCTGCTGAGGAGCTTGATATGGAAAATGAATTTTTATTACCACCAGTTTTTGGAGAAGAATATGAGGAACAGCCAAGACCTCGATCTAAAAAAAAGGTATAAAATTTAATATTCTTGAGTTTACTTAATATCTCTGTATAGTGATACCACTGTGTAGATAAAGAATAAGGGCATAGTAGTCATCAGTTGTGCCTGAAAATATGGGAAGATATTTTGTTTTCTAGATTTAAAAAGACTTTAGGAAGTAAAGACCTTATTACTTAATCTCTAAGTAATAAAGGTATCTCAGATTTAGCTGTAACTTCAAAGAAGAGTGAATAGTATTGCCACTTAGTTTTTCATAATTTTTTTCTTGGTAAAAGTATGACACAGGTGTTAAAGTAAATTCAGTTGACAAGAATTGAGTGTTTTCTAGGGAGCTGTTTTTTTCTACCATTACTTTTAATGAGACTAATTAGCAAGGTTGAGGTACACAGTTTGTGTATATTTGATCTCTTAAGCATGTGAACACATGGGAAGACATGCAGGACAGTTTAATCATTCAGGTAGACCAAATCTAAATGTGTTAACAGGTATAGTTTTAAATACTTTAACTTTTCTACATCTGTGATATCCAACTCAAAAGAAACAAAAATAAAGATAACTTTCACAAATTTCTCCAAAAAGAAAGAAAATTGAAAAAGGAGTACCTGCAATAAAATGAAGTTGGACTCCTGCTTGACACCACACACAAAAATTAACTCAAAATGGGTCATAGACCTAAATGTAAGAACTGAAATTATAAAACTCTTAGAAGAAAAGAAAACATAGGCCTAAATCTTCATTATCTTGGGTTAAGCACAAGGAACAAAGGAAAAAATGGATGAGTTAGACTACATAAAAATTTAGAACTTGTGTAGCAAATAATGCCATCGAAAGTGAAAAGGAGTTGTCATTCCCTGAAGGTGAATCATTGAAAAGTTCTTCAGTTTCTCTCTTACATTAATATTTAGTTTGTTTCTAAGGATGTTAAAGTGTAGTCCTCATATCCTATATTTTCATATCAGTGACTCTTACAGTAGAAGTTAATATGATTTTGTGCACGTAGTGGTTTATGTAGTAATAAGGTATTGCTGGAGATACATTTCAAGTAATGTTACAGATAATTATTCTCAGATTCAGGAATAGCAGTCAATTCTAAGCATATAAATGTATTTCTCTTTAATTTGCATTTATTGAGAGATGGCTAACATAAAGTTATGAAATTATAGGCTTAAAGAAAAAGGTTTTATAATGGTGTTTTACTAATAGGGAGCCAAGAGAAAAGCTGTATCAGGATACCAGTCTCATGATGATAGTTCTGACAATTCAGAATGCAGCTTTCCTTTCAAATATACATATGGTATAAATGCATGGAAACACTGGGTCAAAACTAAGCAACTTGATGAAGATCTTCTGGTATTAGATGAGCTAAAATCTCGTAAGTGTTCTGATTTTATTTTTTCAGAAAGTTTCTTAATTTTAAGAATAGTAAAAATAGCAATTACTAACTTCTAATTTTATTTCTTTTTAGCTAAATCAGTGAAGTTAAAAGAAGATCTACTCTCTCACAGCACAGCTGAACTTAACTATGGGTTAGCACATTTTGTCAATGAGATCCGACGACCGAATGGAGAGAATTATGCACCTGACAGCATCTATTATCTTTGCCTTGGAATACAGGAGGTTAGTAATTTGATGACTACTTTTGAATATAATGTTAATTAGAAAGGTTGTTGTGGTAGTTCTTGGAGAGAAAAATGTGATGCTTCAAGAATATTAAGGGTAGCTTTATGGAACATAGTGATTTATTATTGGCTTACCAAGAAAGGATAAAAAGAATTTACTTGAAAATACTAGGGTATTATAAAGGATTTTCTTAACTACTTTGTGTAGGTGTTTATGCTATAATGAGATACATTCCTAAATGCATCTCAATGAGCTTCTCCAAAACCAAAAAGAATTTACATGAAAAATAGAGTTAGGAACAGGTCCCTGGAAACTCATGCATCTTTTATAACAAAGTTACATATTTGTTCCCATATATATATGAAAACTAGCATGACTTCATTTCCTCCTTACAATTACAAATTAAATGCTTTATGTATATGTGTGTGTGTGTATACATATATAGAGATCCACGTTGATATTCTAATAGAAAAATCTCTTCCGTCTGCAAATTTTGGGTCTGTTTTCTTATGCACTTCTGATTTGTTTCTAACTTGTTATATAATGCAACTCTTCATTAGTTTTTGGAATCATTTCATAAAAGGAGGTCATTTTTCAGTGGTTTTAGATAAACTTCAGCCACATGTCTGAATCTTGGGTATGTCTGTTTTTTGTAATAAACATGAAGATCAACTTTAGGTTATTATTTCTGGTTCTAAACAAATTGTTCAGATTTGGGCCCAGAGGTCAGAAAGAATCTTAACTTAGCCTTTTGTATTTTTAAATGTGGGTAAATGATAGAAGAAGATCTTTTTATGTAGAGTTTTGCTTATTAATAGGCCAAAAATTTAATGTCATGCTGCTAACGGAGGTAGATACTGAAATAAATTACTGAAGAAATCTGGAATTGTCTTTATTTATATTTTATTTACATTCTCTTCAGGATAGAAGTGTGCCTAAGATTATATAGGCAGTGGTAGGGAAGTAACATGTGGCTGTAAATTAGTCTGTATTCAAGAACTATCACATAATTTGTACTAGCAACCTAAAAGAAATATAATATAGTAGGTTTGACTTTTTCTTATTCTTCTTTGATAGATTTACATGGACCTTGAGCCTCATGTTTAGATGGTCACAATTGATCTCCTTTTCCAAAATCCCTAAACCTCTGAAAACCAGATTTTACCTTTCAGTTTTTCATGAAAACTTATTTGACAGAAAAACCAGACTTGAAGAGTTGTGAAGCTGATATTGTCTTTATTAACTTTTTGCTTATATTCATCCATAGGATATTAACTATGAAACTGTTAATGTTTTCAAACAAGTATAGGGTGCTTCCCTAGACCACTCTAAGTATAATAGGTTATTATATGTATATACACACACACACCTTGTGTGTCCTCTTTAAAATCCAAAAAATTAGGAATTCCACAACATACCTGGCCTCATTGGTTCTGGCACATGGCTTTAGACCTGTGTCTATGCTTTTCCCCTTCTGTGTTTCTACCTAGTAGTAGAAAAAAGAGTAGGAACAGCAGTTATTAATAACACTACCAGGTATAGGTGAAAATATTTCAACTCTCTAGAAGTTGGGTGTTAACTCTTTTTATTTTATACCAAGCTGTCCACATAGTAGGTACTCACTGACTTAATGACTGTCATGAATATTACACAGTAGACCTGTATATCCAGTTTCCTTCCTGTTCTGTGTGCATGTGCATGCACATGCTTATTAAAGGTGGTGAAGCAGTTTTTAAAAAAGAATATATTGTCTTCTTAAAAGTAGTTCCGTTGTCTAGATCATTTTTTAAAGTATGGAAGAGAGCATTAGGGTGCTGCCAAAATAACTCAGCAGGAAGGAGGAAGATTGAGTTCCAGGCTCTTACTGTTTTAATCCAATTCTATTTTTTTATATATTTTGGGGCTCTGTATAAAATTCAATTTAAAAATGGCTTCTGCTAGAGATTAAGCTTAATGACGAGTACCTACATACTATAACTTTAAATCAAAGATAACAAAATGGGGATTCTGTGCCCCACCCATGTCTGGTTGACCTAGTTCCATTCCCTAAGGTCAGATAACGTTTTGCTCTGTTGTTAACCTTATTTCCTCGGCATTACTTGCTTGTAGACAAAATCAATTTTAGTGTATTTATCTTATATTCTGTATATACCAATTCACTATGAGTTCTAAGGGAAAAAAATAATAACACCTACTAGAATTTTCTACATATACAATTATGTCATCTATGAATAAAGACAGTTGGCAGTTTTACTTCTTTCTTTCCAATCTGCATGTCTTGTATTTCTTTTTGTTGCCTTACTGTATTTGTTAGGGGGGACCGCTGTCCTCAACACACACACACACACACACACACAAAATTGAGTGGGAATAGGGAGAGCAGAATCCCTTGCCTTATTTCTGATTCTTGGGAGAAGGTCTTTAACCATTAAATACAATGTTGCCTGTAGGTTTTTGTAGCAGCCTGTTACTAAGTCAAGGAAGTTCTCATCTGTTCCTAATAAGCTGTTTTTTGTAACTTTTTATTTTAAAAGTTTTTATCATAAATGTTTACTGAATTTTGTCAGCTGCTTTTTCTGCATCTATTGAGATAGTCACATGTTTTTTTCTCCTATTCTCTTAAATGAATTAATTTTCAGATGTTAAATCAACCTTGACTTCCTGAGATTGATTGTTTGATATGAATATTATCCTTTTTTTATATATTGTGAATTAGATTTGCTAATTTTCTATTAACAGTTTTTGCATATGTTCATGAAGGATTCTAGTCCATAGATTTCTTGTGGTCCTTAGCTTTGGTATTGGGATAATACTAACCTCATAGAGTGAATTTGAAAAGTGTTCCTCTCTCCTGTTTTCTGAAAGAATTTGTGAGAATTGATATTATGTCATCCAATGATACTTTATTAAACATATTAGTAAATGCTTGGTAGATTTTACTTGTGAAGCCCTATGAGCCTAGTTTTTTGTTCTTGTTTTTTTTTAAAGAAGAAAATGTCTTTTTTTAATGCTTGAACAAATGCATGTGCATATACTGTTAGGGCTTTTTCTTCTTTCCCTTTTTTTTAATTTTTAATTTTGATATCATTTATCTACAATTACATGAAGCACATTGTTTACTAGGCTCCCCCCTTCACCAAGTTCCCCTCCCCCCATACCCCTGCACAATCACTGTCCATGAGCATAGTAAGATGCTGTAAAATCACTGCTTGTCTTCTCTGTGTTGTAGAGCCCAC